ACTCCCAGAACAGTGTCTGGTACACCTTAAATGACTGAGTCTAAGATAGGAAGATGGCAAGTACAGATTGATAAATATGCCAAAGTCAACATCAACATTAGCATTGTCCAAACAGGTTACACTCATGGTGTGGCACTGTAGGATCATCCCTAGACTGTGAATCATAAAGTCAGCAGTTCAAACCCACCAGCTGCTCCTCTGAAACCCTATATAGGGTCACTGTGAGTCAGAATCGACTCAACAGCACTGAACAACAGCAAACAGGTTACACTAGTGCTACCTTGGAAAATAAACAGGGATTTAAAAGGCTATTATCAACAACTCAATTCCATTAAATAGCAATGCTATCACTCAAAACACATCAACAAGGCACCATCTTTCTAAGTGTAGATAAAGAGCAAGAAGAATTACTCACAAGGTTCATTAGCCCAAGTCTGTCTGAGTTGAGGCTTGTTTTGTGGCATGTGTGATGATAACTGACTTTCAGAAAGGCAGGTTAAGAAAGCAAAACAAAAGTTTAGAACAATCCTGTGTTCTTCAGTTTACACTACGTCAAAATGACATTTTGGGCATCTTCAAGGGACTCAAATCAGGTTCCTTTTAAAGGTTCCTTGAGTTTGGGAAACAGAATGAAGTCTGAAAGTGGAAGATTAGGGCTACAAGTGGATAGAATAAGATTTCCCAATGAAATGTTCATAGGACAGCCTTTGTTACCTTCAAAGAAAGAATGGTGATGGGAAAAAAATTCCTTGGCACAATTTTCCAGGCCTTTTTCTCACCAGTGCAATGTTCAGTTTCCCCTGTGTTTGCCCTGTGTCCTTCAAGAAAGCTATCAAGATTACACCACCACCACCTTTTTTTCCTTTTTTTGGCTATTTGGAATGCCAAAAAATACCACCTTAGCCTTCTGAGCTGACTTCTCTGCCTTGAATTTATCTGGTCTGGAAGATTTCCTCTGAAGGAACTGTTTGGTTGAATCATATTGATAAATCCAGGACTCATCCCTAGTTACAATTCATTCCCTAAAATTGTCTTCATTAGGTTCAATCTTGCTTAGAAGACAGATGCAAAATTAGCTCGCTTAAAATTCAAAATGCTGAACAATGTAAGCTCTCAACTGCAGTAGTTATCACTTCAGAGGTCTATGTCCACTAGTTCCTGGGTATCAGTCAGTGTCTTCATTCATTAAAATTGACAGTCTTCCTTCTTTGACTCACTTTGAAATGTTTGATCCATCTAAAAAAAATTTTTTTTTAATGTTGGACAGTATTCCCATAAACTTGTTGCAGAACTTCAATGATTTGAAAAGATGTTCACTGGAGTTTTGCTAAAAACTTGGTATTAGGTTTCATCTCAGAAAATTTCTCCCATGACACAAAAGCATGCCTTTTTTTTGGAAGGCAACCTACTGAGACTAAGACAAGTGTGTTACTGAGAAAACTTGTCTGCAGTCATTCACTGATGGCAGAGACATGTTTAATCATGTTTTGTTTGGAATAAATCCATGCATGTATGAACTGGAACCCAAGTAGCAATGTTTTTTACTTACCCTCATAATATCAAACTAATTAACAGGGTTTATCTGAAAATAAGTATCTAATTGAAATAAGAGTAGTGTTATTAATCTTAAATTCTGATAAGATCGGTAATTGGAAAATATGGCCTTATTGATGGAAATGATGCTGGAGATTGCATGATAGAAGTTGGAAAGACCAATGACATCTTCATTGCAAATACCTCTCTCTTTTTTTTTTTTTTTCCTTAAAGCTTTTATTGTGAATTGAGTGATAGTTTACATGGGAGAACATTGGTTTTGCACTTAACCTATCAGATTTTGTTTGATTATGATGATTACAACCCCTTCCATGTATCATTGGTTAACAGTATTTGCTTCTATTCCCCTTGTTTATGTACACAAAAACACATAGGAATATATAATTGTTTAAACAACCAAAGGGCATGGTCTGCAAGCACACAGACTTTATCTTTCCATGAATCTAGAGTCCTCAGCTGCTCTCTCTCTTCATGCCATCTGCCTCTGCCTCCATCTCTGATGTCGCTGTTTCTCTGGTTAGGGTCCCAGGTTCTGCTCATGTTCTGATCTCTTGATGGTCTTAGGGTCCTCTATACCTGGAATGTAAAATTAACTACTTCCCCCCTTGTGTTACACAACTTCTACCTTTACAGTTGTGGCAATTGCAATTAGTCACGATAACAATTACTCACTATTAAATCAAAAGAATCCTATCCCCATCTCCTTTCACCAGATTCATCCCCATCTAGACAAGATGGAAACTATTCAGTGGGGATGCTACCTTCCCCCACAAACTCTAGAACTAAACTTCTTGAAAAGTTGTAAGGCAGCCACTTCGTGCCTTTATAGTCCTTTCCCTCCCCCTCCAACCCTCATTTTAGGTAGCCAGTGTCTAAGTTTCCCATCCCTATCAACCCTGTGTACAGAGGGGATAGGTTTGATCCTTGATGTGAAGAGTCCTTCCCTTTCAGTTGGTATTTTGAGCTTCTACATACATAATTATAAGTCAAGTTCATCAAATGTAGCAATTTATACTTGCTTTCTGTATCAAACTTGTTTATCTTCCTCTAGTTGAGTTCTGATCAAGTGATCGAAGCTAGGTCAAATGGGTACTATCTGCAAGTTTGGGCATTCTTGCATGCCTCCCCCCACTTCATAGCAGCTGGACACTTTACTCTTAGCTCTAGCCCCCAGTAGCTAGGTCAGTGTGCATGGGCTCGAGTTCCTAAATCTCCCTGAACTTTGGACCAACCATCCATTCCTCTTCTCTTTCTCATCTCAAGGTTAATGAGAGTCTATGGAATGTGTCAGACTCAGCACATACCTTCATTACTGCCCTTTCCCCACTTCCACTTGCATGTAAAGGAGCTCTGGTAGCATAGTGGTTACGATTTGGGCTGTCAACCTCAAGGTCAGCAGTTCGAAACTACCAGTAGTTCCATGGGAGAAAGATGCGTTCTGCTCCTGTAAAGATTTACAGCCTCGGAAACCCTGTGCTGGAACTGACTCCATGGTACTTAACAAAAATAACAACTTGCATGTCGATCACTGAAGTCACCAGCAAACTTATATGCCTGCTTGTGTGTTCCCTGTGAGTTTCAGTCTTGTAGGGGGTTTGTCCTGTACAAGCCTTGATGGCTCCCAGGCGAACAGCTTGCTTGTTCTTATAATAGCCAAACAGACTGCCATTTTTGTTTTTTTCTGCTGGTCTTTCTTTCAAGAAATATCTTCTGTTTCTCTAGCTGCTCTGGGCTAGTCTGCATGTCCTTTCAAGTGGGAATGCCCCACCTCAGATGGTTCTGGATGGGGCTAAGGATTCCACCTAAGGTCCTACACATTACAAAGACTCCGCAAGAAGCCTATTTCACTGGGCAAGTTCTAGAACACCTTTTAGGTATTCCAGTCAGTTATAGGCTGAAGACAGGTTTACGAGCTTTCCATAATCATGTTTCCTGATATTCTTTTCTACCTCACTCAAGTGTCTTATTTTACAGTAATAGGCAAGGGAAACCAATATCCATAAGACAGTTAAGCATCTTAACATTATATCCCCTTTTACCCATTCAGACTATGTCTCAATTCCTGTGTCAGAGCCCTGTTGTTCCAAGGTTAAACATACATCACTATTTATCTCAGTCTCATCTAGCCCATGTCTATCTTGTTCTTCCATCCCCCTACCCCTTCTTGTGTATTGCCCTCCCCAACATCCAAGCTATGATGTGACTATCTCCTCACCTGTACTCTACTGTCCCCTCTCTCTCACCCCTAGTAACCAACAAATAATTTCCCCCACTTTTAGTATGGGTATCTTTTAAGCTTTTACAATAATGGTCTCATGCAATATTTGTCCTTTTGTGACTAATTTCACTCAGCATAATGGCCTCAAGGTTCATCCATGTTATGCGGTGGTTTGCCCCTTCATTGATATTCTTCAAGGTAGCATATAGTACTCCATTGTGTGTATGTACCAGTTTGTTTAACAGTTCTTCCATTGATGGGACACTTAGGCTGTCTCCATCTTGCAAATACCTTTTTTAAACAATGACATTTTAAGGCACTGGATGGGGTTAGGGAAGAGTCTGGAAATGTTTAAAGGTCAGTTTAGTTCAGGTTACCTCCAGGAATGGTTCAAAGCACCAGTAATGGTCTGACATGGATATTCAACCTTGTAGAATCTGAGTGGGTAAACTCTCTCTTCTGTATAAATACACATATGCCTGTTTAAGAGCTGACCATAGAAAGGTTCTCTTGAGTTTCTTTATTTTTTAATAAAATTAAAATTGGATTGCCAACATGTTTTGCAGATAGTGCTGATGGTAGTATAACATGATGAACATAATATCACGATGTGAACACTTGTGAATACTTGACCATGGATAAAATGGCAAACTTTATTAGATTAATTTTACAATACATTTTTAATGCTAGTGTAAATTCTAGACATCAAAGCTTCATGAAATTTATCCTGAATGCTCAATTCTTTTTTTAAAAAAGAACATTTTCTAGCAAATGATCCCTATGACGAAAATAGAATCAGATGGTATGATTATTTTTTTCATTTGAAGTCATTTCACTAAATTAAAGATAACATTTTTTATATTTGTTTTTTAAAGCATGATTTTAAGGAAGGTTACTTCATATTGTTAAAGAACAGTGAGTTAGGAGTCAGGAAACCTAAATTCTAGGCCTGGTTCCGTGTAATCTGGCCCAAGTCCCATCATCCTACTGTATTTTCATTTTCTCATTAATGTGAAATGATTTACAAGTTGATGTTTTAGGCTTCCTCAAGACCTAAAATGCTATGATTCCACGTTTTTCAATTTACAAACTAACAAATCTATTGCTATATTATTGTAATATTATGACACTAGATAAAAATAGTCATGTTAAACATCTATTGTCAACAGGTGAATGACATGTCTTAGAAAGAATTTCATGTGCCAGTGATGTGAAATTGTTTTTATAGGTACATTGCTCTCATTGAAAGGAGCTGTGCTAACATTCTCCTGCATGGACCGAACTGGTGGATTAATGCAGCCGCCATATGAAGTTTGGAAGGACCCAAACAATATAGATGAAAATGAAAAATCTTGGAAAAGAAAACTGGTCATGAACTCCCCCTCTCCATCCCAAGAAATAGGAGACCATCAGTATGCAATCATCTGCTCGGAAAAACAAGCCAAAGTCTTCTCTCTGCCTTCTCAGATTTGCCTTTATGTTCATAACATCACCGAGACATCTTTTATACTGCAAGCAGACGTGGTGGTCATGTGTAACAGTGCCTGCTTGGCATGCTTTTGTGCCAACGGGCATATCATGATAATGAGGTACTTGCCTTTTTTCTTAAATATCTGGTGATCACAACAGTGCTAGGTAGAATTCTGAAAAGCGTATGTGTAATGTGCAGTGTTGTCAAGCAATAACCTAAGATTGTGGTTTCATTATGCTTGTGAATGTTTTATTGTTGCCTTAAGGAGAGTTGGGTTGGGTGGGTCAGGGGCTGGTGAGATGTGCTTGGCATTGTGAATGAAATATATGTTTTAATTGGCATCAAGGAATCTAAGGAAAAACACTTTTCCAGTCATCTATACATTCATTCACCAAACATTTATTGAGCATATGTTATTTACTTAGGCTAGGAACTGAAGATAAAAAGGTAAATAAGCTACAAGTAACATAAGCTAACTTTTAATTGTGTTTCAAGGAGTCATGGTGGTGCCATGGGTTAAGCATTGGGCTGCTAACCAAAAGATTGGTAATTCAAGCCCACCAGCCACTCCATGGGAGGAGAATGAGGCAATCTGCTTCCATAAAAAGTTACAGCCTCAGAAACCCTATGGAACAGTTTTACTCAGCCCTATTTCTTCTATGAAATCAGAATCAATTCAGTGGCAAGGAGTTTGGTTTTGTTTTGATATATTGCTATGTTTAATAACTCACACAAGTTTTGTATAAAGAATTTCATTGGATACTTACAGTTTCTCTAAGACATAGGAAAATGAAATCTTATTTATATCTCAATTTTACATATGTTAATAAATTAATTTACCTGTGAAAAAGTGAGGCCAGCACTAAACAGGACGCTAAAATCAAGTCAGATACTTTAATAATAAGATATTTTGTTGAGAGATTTCATTCTGCCATTGGTGAAATGAAATAAATTTAGTGAGACATCCAAATAATAATGCTTTTATGAATTCAGCCAACACTAAACATACACTATTATGTAGAAATCACTGACACTCTTAATACCTCATGTAGTTCCAAAAATGATTGAGACAGTTAGATACTTTACTAGGCCTGTAAAGGGTATAAACATTAGTAAGACATGGTCAAGAAGCTTATTGTGTATGTGGGTGAGAAGACAGGCACACAGATAATTACAGCACAAAGAAAATGTGGATTCCAACAGAGGAAATATGGAGTGGAATTGAAAGTCATGGATAGTTGAATATATAAAAGGGTAGCTGTGGGGAGGAAAATAAACTAGAGAAACAGATTGGGGCACATTGTTGAGGACCTTGCATGGAAGGCCAATGAATTGGGCATTAATAAATTGATTAATGGGGAATGGAATTTTTTAAAAGCAGGTAATTAACCTGTTCTGAGGTAAGTTCTGTAGTGCATAGGGTCGCTATGAGTTGGAACTGAGTTTATAGCACCTAACAACAAAAACAACAAGAAGCTATGTATTAAAGAGCCTTGGTGGGTGCTGTGGGTTAGGTATCAGACTAACAATAATGTCAGTAATTCAAACTCACCAGTTGCTCCACAGAAGAAAAATGAGGCTGTCTGTTCCTACAAAGATTTACAGTCTCAAAACCCTATATAGCATCATGATGAGTCCAAATCCTTAGCTAGGTGCCTTCTACCAGAAATTGAGGTCTGGAAGTTCTCAGAACAGTTAAATTCTGATAGGGTCTAGAAAGATCCTGGGACTGACTACACATGGGAAGATGATCAAGGTCAGAAGCATGCCAATGTGTTGGATTCAGTACCTCAAGGCACACAGTATATTTCATCATTTTCTAGTCATAATTTACATATTACAAAATTACACCGAAATCATTCTTTTCAGTTTTTTTTGATGATCCTCACGAACACATAGCGTTTCCATTCTGACATTTTATTGAAGTAGTCAATTTCATGTGAAGTAGTTTCTACAAAGGGCAAAGGAAGACAGCTATCAGTTTTTCAATGACTCCTGTTGCATTTTAAATTCTCTATTTTTATTTCTAAAGAAATCTCCCGCCCTTATAAATGCAGATGTTAGTACATATTCATTTATATAGAAATTAATTTGTAGCTATGCATAATACCATTTGAGAAGAAAAGAAGTTAATTTTACAAAATAAAGTATAATTAATCACTATCAAACTAAACTTCCAACTGGGACAACAGAATAATTCAATGTAAGACAAATTCTGCATGGTTCAATGCTAGTTTCGAGGAGGTTAGAGTATATATGAGACACACACAGTACACACGGGTTTCTCCCAAACTTTTGAAGTAAGTGCTAATGTCATCATTTGTCATTACTGTCATCCATTTCCAAACAAGATTAGAATGACCCCTTCATCAGCAATCCTAACAAATGGTTTGAGAAATGGAAATATGGACTGAGAAGGAATAAGAGAGTGAGCAGATCATAAAATGATTGTTTTCTTTCAGAAATTTCTGTCATTAACTACTTCCTCGTGGCTTACAGATCCATTCATGTCTCCCCTACTAAAAATTAAGAAAAAAGTGCAAAAACCAAAGCAAAATACACTTTCAAAACCTAGTTCCAGTCTTGAATTATTTTCCTGTCTTTTATCTCCTGCACCACAAATGTCAGGAATGAAAAATCTATACTTGTTAAGTGCCGCTGAGTTGGTTCTGACTCCAAGTGACTCTGTCTGTATAGGGTTTCTGAGGAGTGACTGGTGAGCTTGAACCACTGACCTTATGGTTCAAACCAACCTTGCAGTGCAGTGCATTAACCCACAGCACCACAGCAGGACTTCAATCTGTACTAGGGATCTACAAACTCTTATTTTTAAGTTATTCTTAGCTTGCAGGCGGTGTGGTACAAACTCAGAGGCAACTGGGAGAAAAAGAAGGTCCTAGATTTGGACTACAGAGTATAGTTTGCTGTTCAATACCATTGCCTTTATTTTTGTCTCCTTGAACATTTAGCACTTAACCTCCACCATGCTTCTAAAATTTGCTTTCTCTAAGATCCCCAATACCATATTCGTTGCCAGATCTAGTGTTTATTCCTGCACTCAAATTATTGGATCTGTTATACTTGTATTTGACAACCTCTTAATCACTTCCATCTTATTTTTTAATCTTTTATTGTGAGTTGGGTGAAGGTTTATAGAGCTGAAAATTGAGTATTTTGTCTATTTTGAAAATAATGATGAATGCATTGATCATTATTATGCAAAATAATAAAAAGCCCATCAAAAAGTCAGAACATTCCAATCCCCTGATCTATTAATTTGACTGAATGGATGGGTCACAGAAGTGTGCTTACTGGGTTTGTTTTCCCAGTCTGTGGGGTCCCTTTTTACTCTTTTGGTGAAGTCTTTTGATGCACACAAGTTTTTAATTTTTAGTATGTCCCACTCATCTATTTTGTCTATTTTTGTTTGTGTGCTTTTCAAAATGTGTGGCAGTCTTGTATATGCCCTGTATTAGCGCCCTCACGTTTGTCCTTATTTTTTCATTGATGATCTTCATAATTTTGGGATTCACATTTAGATCTTTAATTCATGTTGAGTTCATTTTTGTATAGGTGTGAGGCAAAGGTCTTGTTTCAGTCTTTTACATATCGCTTTCCAGTTCTGCCAGGACCATTTATTAAAGAGACCGTCTCTTACCCATGCAATGTGCCTAGGTGCTTTGTCGAAAATCATTTGGCTGTATGTGGTTGGGTTAACATCTGGATTCGCAATTCTGTTCCATTGATCAATGTATCTTTTATTGTACCAGTACCAGGCTGTTTTGACCATGGTAGCCATGTAGTAAAGTTTGAAATTGGGGAGTGAGAGACCTCCAACCTTGTTCTTCCTTTTAAGTAGTGCTTTGCTTATCCTGGGTCTCTTTCCTTTCCATACAAAATTAACAATTGTCCTTTCCATCTCTTTGAAGAATGTTGTTGGAATCTGGATTGGGATTGCATTGTATGTGTAAATTGCTCTGGGTAATATTGACATTTTCACGATGTTGAGTCTTCCTATCTAGGAACATGGTATGTTCTTCCACTTCTGTAGGTCTCTTTTGGCTTCTTGTTAGTAGTGTTTTGTAATTTTCTTTGTATAAGTCCTTTGTTTCTCTGGTTATGTTTGTTCCTAAGTATTGCATCCTTTGTGTGGCTATTGTAAATGGTATTGCTTTCCTAATGTCCTTTTCATCGCTATTGCTGTTGCTATAGAGAAATCCAATTGATTTTTGTATGTTGATTTTATACCCTGCCACTTTGCTGAATCTTTTGATGAGGTCTAATAGTTTTTTTTTTTACTGAGTCTTTGGGGGTTTCTATGTATAGGATCATATCATCTGCAAATAAGGAGAGTTTTACTTCCTCTTTGCCAATGTGGATGCCTTTAATTTCTTTATCATGCCGTATAGCTCTTGCTGAGACTTCCAGCATAATATTGAATAGGAACGGTGATAAAGGGCATCCTTGTCTGGTTCCTTTTCGCAGAGAGAAGGCTTTCAGTTTCTCTCCATTGAGCGTGATGTAGGCTCTTGGTTTTGTATATATGCTCTTGATTATGTCAAGGAATTTCCCTTCAATTCCTACTTTGTTGAGTGTTTTTATCAAGAATGGATGTTTGATTTTGTCAAATGCCTTTTCTGCATCAATCGATATGATCATATGGTTCTTTTCCTTTTTCTTATTTATATGATGGATTGCGCTGATTGTTTTCCTGATGTTGAACCATCCTTGCATCCCTTTTATGAAACCCACTTGGTCATGATGTATTATTTTTTTTGATGTGCTGTTGGATTCTGTTGGCTAGGATTTTGTTGAGAATTTTTGTGTCTATGTTCATGAGGGATATTGGTCTATAATTTTCTTTCTTAGTGATGTCCTTCCCTTAACTGGGTTTGTTTTGAATCCATAGCTTACCTGACAAGATACCTAATGAAAATGTACAGTGTGGATCATATATTTAAAATTTTCTAGGAAGTAGCCAAATTTGCAAAAAGTAAAAAGAATCAGGTGAAATTTATTTCAGGACTGCAGTATGCTTAATTCAGTATATCTGAGATATTTTACTTTTTTCTTTTCCCCCCATACTCTTTGAAATCCAGTTTTTAATTCATATTTACAGCACATCTCAATTTGAACTAGCTACATTTCTTGACAGGAGCAGAAAGCTTCCTTTCTATCCCCGGAATGGCTGGTGGGTTTGAACTGCTAACCTTGTGGTTCACAGTACTTATCCTATGGAATCACACTGTGGCTCCATGTGACTAGTGACTACCATATTAGACAGCACAGTGCTACTGGAGCCTCATGAAAATCCTGTTCCAATGGCACAGATTTCCGACCCTGCTTTATAAAATAAGGCTCCAGGGCTCTCAAACGAGATTTACAAGCTACTTTGAGAAGATAAATAAGTATTTTTTCCCTGACGATAAAACAAGTGCTTATTTTATGATCTGGGATAATTTAAAAGTAATGTGCACACTTAGAATCAATAGGATGGTTTCAAAACTTGAGGTTTAATTTTAGGTTTATTTATTTTGGCATTAAAGATATAACTAAGAAACAGTACGACAGGACTGCTTCAGTGATTGATTGAACTGGCCCAAACGACAGTATCCAAAGTGAGATTCTAGGGAATATTTAAGTGAAAGTATTCACTAGAACATTAGGATAAGTTATAACCACTGGGTGACAGTTCAGAAGTGTGTTAATTCATTTGCATATACACATTCTGATATATGATTTGTACCTTTTTCCCATTCTCTTACAGCATCTCCTATATAAATCATGCCTTCAGTGCAGGTGCCCTAAGTTATAGGTCATTTCCATTTCCTGTGTACAGTGGGACTGGGCTTACTCCATATACTGTCATTGTATAACCTCCTCAGACTCAGGAACCTTGCCTTAGAAAAAGACAAGGCAAAGGGTCTTGAAAACATTCATGGAAATATGGAACTTTTCCACAAATTATTTGAAACTTCCCCCATTGAGCAAATAGGCTATCAGCCTCGTTCTACTTGTGGTGCTTCTGCCAGAACAGTACAGTAGAAGTCTGTGAAATGCTGCAAACCGCATCACTGAGATTACTGGCTGGCCACTGCATTTAATCCTTCAAGGGAATTTGCTAAATATCTCCATGGATTAAGAAAGAAGTACTGTGTTAATGTTTATGATTTTATGTGAAAATAACTTGTTACCACTGAGCTTCATGGGGATAGAATGAAATAGTCCCAAGAGAATGATAAAAACAAAACAAACCTGTTTCTATGTAAGTATGTGTAAATTCTTTACAGAGGAATTAAAAGTTTCTAACAACCTTAAGAATAAAATGTGGATTTTCTTTTCCCATTTAGCCTACCTAGTCTTCGGCCAATGTTGGATGTTAATTACTTACCACTGACAGACATGAGGATAGCACGGACATTCTGTTTTACCAATGAAGGACAGGCACTGTACCTTGTCTCTCCTACTGAAATTCAGCGGTTAACATATAGCCAAGAAATGTGTGATAATCTACAGGTAGGTCAGAATGAAAGAATATTGTGTCTGATGGTAAAAAGAGAGCCTGAGAGGGATGTTGGAAAGCTAAAATATTATTGGAAACATGACTTTCCTGGAACATGTTTTGAATACATAGTCTTCATTGTGACCTTTCGCATTTTTAGTGTGGTACTGGGTAGAAAAGGGAGAGAATGTAAAGTTCATCCATATTTTATAGTGCATCTTTTATTTTTGTTTTTGGCCCATGGAGAATCTTACAAAAGTTACAGACTCTTATTTAAAATTTTCATATATTTGAAGAGTTCATGTTTTGTTTTGTTTTAAGAAACCTTAATTTCAGCTAAGGATCTACAAAAGGAATACATGTCCTGTGGGTCACAGCTTGGCATCTGTCTTTGATATTAGCAGTGGGGTAGACTCAAGATAGGTATCAAAGCCTGTGTAATCTTGGGATAGTATGAGTGGTCATAATGTGCTAAAAGAACCTCTTAAAGATTTATCTGGTTCAACACCCTTATTTTCCAAATAAGAAAATTAAATTATAAGTGTAAACTGTGAACTCTTTCAGTTGTAGTTGGCACTACCCCATCTCCCAAAGCCCTGGGAGGTTTGGACTCTGGGGGTGTTGCTTAAGCTGCTTGTGCACTCTTCCTTAGAGCACTGTTGAGAGAAGTCAGTCAGAATGCATAGGAAGCACTGAGCACAGCACTTGAATCATACTGTGACTTTTTATAAACAATATTTATTAGTTATTTACTGAGTTATTTATTTATTGCTTGGTACTTGGCTAGGCTCTAAGAATGTAATAATATATAAAATACAAATCCCTCCCTGTTAGTGTGGAGGGAGAGATGAGTAAGCAAACAGACAACAGCAATACTTTTTGGAAAACGGGATCTCTGACGGTGTCGGTGCTGTGGAAACAAATAAGGGGCGCCCAGATGGTAAAGCAGAGGAGAGAGTATAGTTAGAGAAAAACTGTGGACAAAGGTGACTTCTAAAGGGTAAGTAAGAGTTATTCAAAGGTTTGGATTGCTGGGGATGGACAAAATAAAGATATTGTAGACTGAAGCAGAGGCATGTAGAAACCCAAGGCTTCAGGAAATTGTCCAGAAAAAATTAAGAGTTGGTCATGTGAAAAGAGTGGAGGGATGGTGCTGGAGAGTGAGTCACATGAGATCTTGGTGGAATCTGACATTTACTCCAAGGGATTATAATAGAAAGTCCTTGAAAAGTTTTAGATTTTTTTACTGAAGCAAATCACCTGGCTGCAATTGGCAACTGGTTATGAGGAAGCAAGACTGAAGGTAGAACAATTAAAAGACTTAAAAAAAAATAATGTAGGTGAAAAGTAACAGTGGCTTGAAGTAGGGACAAATGCTTGTGGCTCAGTGGTCACAGGAGAAAGATGTGACAGTCTGCTTCCATAAAGATTGTTGTTGTTCAGTTCTGTCTCAGTGACCTTGTATAGTTTCCAAGGAGCAACTGGTGAGTTTGAATCGCTAACATTGCGGTTCAAATGACCCTGTAGTCCAGTGCTCTATACTATAGTGCCACAAGTTTATAACCTCAAAAACCCTACGGGGCTGTTCTACTCTGTCTTTACGTGGTCTCTAGGAGTCAGAATTCTCTCGTTGGCCATTGCAATAGGGGAGCCAGCAGTGAGAATGGAGAAAAATTAGCAGATTGAAGTTAGCAAATTCAATAGCTATAAAAGAAGTGCAATAATTTGTATTTTAGGATTATTAGATATACAAGCAAAGGAAAGTAAAGAATAATTCCTCAATTTCTAGCTTGGAGAAATGAACTATTGGTGGGGTCATTTGCAAAGGTAAGGAATTCAGGAGGAAGAGCACAGGTTTTGGTGAGCAGAGATGAGAGAAGTTGAAGTTACGGTCATACAGTAAGTTCATGACCAAGCCAATATAGGACACAGATCTCCTGATAATTTTTGTTTGTTTTATTGTGAATTATGTGATAGTTTACATGGGAGAACATTAGTTTTACATTCATCCTGTCGTATATTGTTTCATTGCCATGGTTACAATCCCCTCCATGCATCATCAGCCAACCAAAGGGTATACCCTGCAAGCCTGCCCCCTAGTCATCACACAAAACGTCTACCTTTATATTTCCAACCTTCACAATCAGTCCTGATAACAATTTTTCACTATTGTACCACAAGAGACCTAGCCGCATTTCATCAGCCCCACCTACACAGATTTGATACTACTCAGTGGAGATTCTACCTTCCTCCATGCCCTCTAGATCTAGGTTCCCTCTTTAAAGCTTGCAAGCCTGTCACTTCTTGCCTTTGTAGGCCCCCATTTTGTGTAGCCAATGTCCAAGTTGCCCATCCCTGTCCTCTTCATGTGTGGAGAGGGTGGCAATGATCCTTGCTGTAAAGATTTGTTCCCTCTTTTGAGCTACTGCATCCATAGGTATAGGTCAAGTTCATCAAATTGTATCAGATTACTCTTTTTTTCCTCCTCTTTCTTCTAGTTGAGCTCTCATCATCCAGTCATTGAAGCCAGGTCAAGTGGGTATTATCTGCACGTGTGGGTGTTCTTATGCGTACACACTCTCTTCTTACCAGCTGGATGCTTCACTCTCCACTCTAGTCCTCTGTGGCTATGTCACTGACTCTGGACCCAAGAGGCCGCGGGTCTCCACCCGGGTTCATAGGAGTCTATTGAACGTTGGAGGGCTTAGCTCGCCGCTTCATTCTGTTTTTCCCTCACTTCCCCTTATCGGTGACCAGCGTGGTCACCAATAAGAGTGTGTATTACCATTGAATCGTAGTCCTGAAAGGGGGTTTGCTCTGAGGGAGAGCTCCTGATTCTTGATACAAGTTTTCTCTCCCATACTTTTAAGAAGGACTGGAATGCAATTTAAAAATAAAGTAACCAAGGTATACCTGTGTAGATTTGATTTGCTATGTGTGAGAAACAGCCTGGGCATCTGTTTTTCTAACATGATTTGCCCTTCACTCTAAGGTACCCCAATACTGAGAAAAGGAGCACCCCTCCAGGCAGAAGCTGCCTATATTAAGGCATTTATCTGAAGCCATTTTGATAACTGTGTGCTTGATAAAAAAAAAAATAGATCTAACCTTCTATGTTACCATCAAGGACTTCCTGTGTCACAGGCTGTACCTGCTTGTTTCAGAGTAGGAAACCAGACATGAACAAAAGGACAAGAAAACCAGACTGGTCATCACTGAGTCTAGGTGGAAATTAATGTCAGGGCAGACATACTAGCTCCCCATGTTTCTCAATTGTTGAGGGGAGAAAAGGGCAGAAATATGAAAATTCTCAGATGTCACTTGAGAAGTGAAATAGAAGCAGCAAACTGCCAGAGACAGAACTGGGAGCAGAGCTGAAACCACCAGACACTATATGTGGGTACCAGACTGTCCTTTAATAATGTGCTGTGACATACCAGTGATCCTTTTTAATCTATTTTTTTTTAATTACATTTTACTTTTAATTTGGTACAGGACATGCTAGGAGAATTGTTTACTCCAATAGAGACACCAGAAGCTCAAAACAGAGGATTTCTCAAGGGACTGTTTGGTGGAAGTGGACAAACATTTGACAGAGAAGAACTCTGTGAGTAAACTCGTAAAAATGTATCACAAATTAGAAGACTGTTCCTATGTATATCTAATCCAAACCCACTGCCATCTAGACGATTTTGATTCATACTAGACAAAGTAAAACAGCTCAGTAGGGTTTCTGTGACTGTGAATGTTTATAGAAGGAGACAGCCTCATCTGTCTCCCATGGAGCAACTGGTAGGCCTGAGCCACTCACCATGTGGTTAGCCCAATGCTTAACCCACTGTGCCACCAGGACCTTTAACACAATATGTGATCTCAAATTCTAAGCTGTTTGTTCTGCTTTTATCTTAAATCTTGGTAATCTGTCTTGTTTTACACCGTGAAATTCATTCCTGCTTACCAAATGCAAATAAAATTGGTCACTTCATATGAGAAAATAGTTTAACAGAAAAGGTAAATACTTGTATAATGCATATAGTGACCAAGCTAATCAAGTGGCACTTGCAGGTAGATCATACCTTCATGGAAGGGTAATGATAAGGCTGAAAATAAATACATAGAATTTGCTTGCCTTTAGCCATTGCTAGAAAACAGTTTATTTAGAATGCAAGGCTTTCCCACACAAGGCTTTCCCACACAATAATATAAATGACTGTAAATTTCTACCAGTGAGACTATCATGAATAGTCACGAATAAGCAGTAGTAAGATATTAAGGAACATTTTCAGAAAGAAAGCAAAAATATATTTTCCAGGATCTTCCACCATCATTTGGTCTTGAAGAGCAAGCTTGCTTTCTCTTCAACTTTTGACTGTGTGCCTCCATGCTACAGTATTCAGTATTATTTCATCATACAAAGGAAAGATGCTGGGTGGTGATACATGCCACTGATGATGAAATCAAAGAATTCTACCAACTTCTCATACTGTGGTAGCTTGTGTGTTACTATGATTTTGGATGCTATGCCATGGGTATTTTAAATCCCAGCAGGATCATTGACAGTGGACAAGTTTCAGATGAGCTTCCAGATGGAGACAAACTATTTCCAAATATTTCATCACTGAAAGCCTTATGAATAGCAGTGAAACACTGTTATATATAGTGGCCAGAAAATGAGCATGTCAGGTTAGAAAGCACTCAGAATGCGACTGGGGAAGAGCTGCTTCCTCAAAGTAGAGTTAACCATGATGATGTGAATAGAATAAAGCACTCGGGACCTTCATTTGCTGAAAGGGCATAACTCAAAAACTGTAAACATCCCTTAAAAAATCAGAAAACGGAATATATGAATGTAGAAATTGTCAAAAATGAAATGGAACACACATCAAATACCTGAAGCATTAGTGAGCTGAAATGGACTATGCCGGAAATGAAAAATTGAGGAAGAATGGCATCACATTCATTGTTAGAAAGAACATATCAAGATCTATCATGGGGTACAATGCTGTCTGTCTGTGATAGGATAAGGATAATATCCATGTGCCTACAGGGAAGATCGGTTAATGCCATTATTATTCAAATTTACACACCAACCACTAAAGCCAGTGAGCATGAAATTGAACAGTTCTACCAACTTCTGCATTCTGAAATTGATCAAACATGCAATCAAGATGTTTTGATAACCACTGATGATTGGAATGCAGAGGTTAGAAACACAGAGGAAGTATCAGTAGTTGGAAAGTTATGACGTTGGTGATAGAAATGATACTGGAGGTCGCATGGTAGAATTCTGCAAGACTAATTAATTATTTGTTCTTTCAAATACTTTTTTTTTTTAACTAACATAAAAGAAATCAGTTGACTACATCTGTGTTAAGAAACAGTGGAAATGCTGCATATCATCAGCCAAAACAAGGCAAGGAGAAGATTAAGGAAGAGATCATCAATTGCTCATATACAAATTCAGACTAAAGTTGAAAAAAGTCCATGAGAGCCAAAATGTGACTTTGAATATATTCCACCTGAATTTAGATACCAAAGACCAGAAGGAAAAGACCAAAATGGAGGTCAGAAGAGACTAATACTTGCTGTCCAGTGTAGACATGCTAACACAAATGGAAGAAGAGCGGAGGTACAAAAGGTGGACAGAAAATTTTAAAGGTCAGCTCAAGAAGACAAAGTCAAATATTATTATAATAAAATGCGCAAAGACCTGGAAAACCAAAAGGGAAGAATTCACCATTTCTCAAACCTTGACTTGCGTTATTGAAGGATTCTCTGGCCAAACTATTGAACGATGCAGAAAGCATCAAAAGAAGATGGAAGGAATACACAGAGTCACTGTACTAAAAGAAAACAGTTGATGTCCAACCATTTCTTGATCATAGCATATGATCAAGAGCCCCAATGATCCTGAAAGGAAGAAGTCCAAGGTGCACTGAAGGCATTGGAAAGAACAAGGCACCAGGAATTGATGGAATACAAATTGAAATCTTTCAGCAAAGTGATGCAGCACTAGAGATACTCACTCATCTATGCAAGGAAATTTGGAAGACAAACTACCTGGGCCAATTGATTGGAAAAGAAATGGAATGCAGAAATCATTGGACAGTATCATTGACATCCCATGTGAGTAAAGTTTTAATAAAGGTAATACAGAAAATGGCTGCAACCATACACTGACAGAGAACTTCCAGAGGTTCAAATTGGCTTCAGAAGAGGACATGGAATGATGGATATCATTGCTAACAGCAGATGTATTTTGGCTGAAAGCAGAAAATACCAGAAAGATGCTTACCTGTGCTTTATTGACTGCGCAAAGGCTTTTGATTATGTGGATCATGCCAAACTATGGAGAATGTTGCAAAATATGAGTATTCTGGAAAACTTAATTGTGCTTATGAGGCAGTCTTTTGAACAGAACAAGGGAACACCGAATGATTTCAAATTAGGAAAGGTGTGTGACAGGGTTGTGTTCTTTCACATGCTGAGTTTTATGAAGAATAACATGGTATCAGGATTGGAGGAAGACTCACGAAGAACCTGCAATATGCAGCTGGTACAACCTTGCTTGCTAAAAATGAAGAGGACTTAAAAAATACTGATGAAGATCAAAGAGCACAGCCTTCAGTATGGATTGCATCTCAATGTAAAGAAAACAAAAATCCTCACCACTGGACCAGTAAACAACATTCTTATCATCAGAGAAAAGACTGAAGTTGTCAAAGGCTTCGTTTTGCTTGGATGAACCATCAACACTTACGGAAGTAGCAGTCAAGAAATCAAATGACATATTGCATTGGGCAAAATTTGCTGCACAAGACCTTTTCAAAGTGTGTGGACTAAGACAAAGATACACCTGACTCATGCCGTGGTATTTTCAGTAACTTCATTAGCATGTGAAAGTTGGACAGTGAATGTGAAAGTTGGACAGTGAATAAGGAAGATTGTAGAAGAATTGATGCACTTGAGTAATGGTGTTGGGAAGAGAGTAATGGTGTTGGGAAGAGAATATTGAAAGTATCATGGACTGCCAAAAGAACAAGTAGATCTGTGTTGGATGAAGTACAACAAGAGTGCTCACTGGAAGCCAGGATGGCCAAACTTAGTCTTACATACTTCTTACTTCATACATTTGTCAGGAGGTACCAGTTACTAGAGAAGGATATCATGAATTCCTGTTTGATAAGGTGGAGGGTCAGAGGATTTGCAAAGTTGCAGCATCAATGGGCTTAAGCATAGCAACAATGGTGAGGGTAGCCCAGGACCAGCAGTGTTTCATTCTATTGTGCATAGGGTCAATATGAGTCGGTACCGACTTGATGGGACCTAAAAAAAACAACCAACTTCTTCAGTCTGAAGTTGATCAAACATGCAATTAAGATGTATTGATAATTACTGGTGATTGGAATGCAAAGGTTGAAAACAGAAAGGATCAGTAGTTAGAAAATATGGCCGTGGTGATAGAAACAATGCTGGAGATCACATTGTAGAAATTTGCAAGACCAATGATTTGTTCATTGCAAATACCTTTTTTAAACAATGTAAATGATGACTATACATGTGGACCTCACCAGATGTAATCAATTTGATTTCTGTGTATTCTGTGAAAAGAGAGTGAAAAAGTTGCATATCATCAGCCAAAACAAAGCCAGTGGCAGACTATGGAACAGACCATCAAATTTTCATATACAATTTCAGACTGAAGCTGAAGAAAATTGAAACAAGTGCACCAAAGCCAAAATGTGATCCTGAATATATTATATCCCACATGAATTTAGAGATCAAATCAAAAACAGACTTTGTTGCACATTAGACACTAAAGAAGAGTTGTGGTATGACATCAAGAACATCATACTGGAAGAAAGCAAAAGGTCATTAAGAAGACAAGAAAAGGAAAAGACCAACCAAAATGGATTTCATCAGAAGAGCCTCTGAAACTTGCTTTCCAGCATAGAGACGCTAAAGTAAATGTAAGAAATGAGGAGGTAAAAGAGCTGAAAAGAAAATTTAAAGGTGAGCTCAAGAAGACAAAGTTAAATATAATGAAATGTACAAAGATCTGAAGTTAGAAAACCAAAAGGGAATAACCCACTCAGCATTTCACAAGATGAGTGAACTAAATCCAAGCTTCAACTTGTATTGAAAGGGATACAGCAAACATCAAAAGAAGATGGAAGGACAGAGGCAGGGCTTCATGGAAGATTTGGGAGAAGTGCAGTGCACTTCTACCAGCAATAACGGATACTGGATGAAGCAGGTTCAGGGGATGGTCCCAGAACTCTGAACTACATATAAAGAAATATTTAGAAGTGAGAAGGTTTACAGCCGGTGTAATTTGTACCAAAATCAAGAAAACTGGTGTTTTCTTATCTGCTGGTCCCAGCATCTCCTGAAGCAGCCATCTTGGGAGTGACAGAGCGGGAAAAGGATCAGAGATGAGCTCCTATCGCAGACATCTGACCCATCCTAGGAGATAAAGGTGTACATATTTTTTTTTTCTGCAGTTTGTGCACCTCCACTCTGGTGACTGGGGGGGTGGGTGCCTGAGAGGACTCCACAGGGTTCTGCTATGCATGCGCTTGGATCTGCTCAGCAGAGTCTAAGAAG